CAGGTTGAGGAAGATATTCTCAAGTGTTGAAATGATAAAATCTCTGATAAAGAAGAAGAAAAGAATTTGAAAATTCCTAAAAGGTTTGAAAGCTGAAGCATAAAAAAGGAGTGAAGAAAGAGATTTAGAACTTTTTGAAGAAATTGCAAATGATGTCTTAAAGAGCACAGGAGATTCAAGGAGTAAGGGGATGGAGTATCAGGTAGGGTTATGAAAGATTTTCCTTTTCAATAATCTTTTTTTTTTGCGCATTCTACAGGATGCTTGTGAATACGCTATGTTACGTGTGCCTTCGTTAGTGTTTGTTTCACTGACGGTATTTCTCCTGTCTTCATGTTTACTAGTTGCAGTAATTGTACCAAATGGTATGTTTATAACTTTTAAGTCAGCGAGCCAGTAATTTTGAATTTTATTCTTTTTTCCAATACGATGTTAACTTTAAGTTAACGTTGCTTTGGGAGGCAGAATAAAATTCCATGCTGACGACTCATCGTTTTTTTTTTTTTTTTGCTTTTTTAGAGCGACATTAATAGTGTTGTGCGAAGAAGGAAAAATCTTCCTTATCCATTTCCATTTTAAGTTGTCAGCAGAATTCACATCGTCCGGTTCCCATCCAAAAAGTAATTTCCTGCCCTAATGAGATAATCAGGCCATATTTGTGATAAAGTTAAGCAGTTTACAAAAATCTTTCGGGCTTTCAACATGCTTTCGATGTGTGGGTGCTATAATTATTGTAATTATACTGAGATCCCCATCTCTGGCTCTTTTTTGTCCTGAATAATTTTGTTCTGATCATCTGGCCTTCGTCACATTATTACACCATTTTCCTGGAGGATTAGACGATTTTATTTCGTCATACTATGAACGCCTCATATTGTTTGCAAGTAGCACAAGTAGTTTTTGATATTCGGCGAATATTTCGTGATTGCACTGGCATGTTTTATGTTGCTCTTCTGATTAAGGGATTCAACTTATATGAGGATGAACTAAATTAAGAAGTTAAATTACTTGAAAAGGATGTTAGTTTGCAAAAGTATTAAGGTATTAACTGCTAGGTATTAACTGATGTAGTGTAAATATGGAAATTTTTTAATATTAAATCCGAAGGATATTGATTGAAAAGATAATTTCCAGTTGAATTTATCCTCGGAATAACGGGTGCAACGATTGGTTCTCTTGTAACGATCATCATCCCATCGTTTTTATTTTTATCAGTATCTCGTGGCATTGAACAATATCGTCCTTTAATATTATATGCAAAAGTATGATGTAAATTCAAATAATGAATGTGTAATTTTTCCGTCTTATTTATCCGCAATTAACACTTCGGGTGAATATTTTCCGGAAATTTAAGCGAAATTTTCCAGTGGTACTTAAATACTTAGGGTTTTATATGTTTTTCATCTCTTTCTGTAAGATTTTTCAGATATCGATAATAATCGGTTCACTTATGCTCATCGGAAGTACATGGGCAGTTCTACATACGGAACAGGAAACGAATGTTGTCGATATCATTTTACCTAAACGAATAGGTTGTTTTTAAATGAATTCCACCTAATTTAAATGGTCATTTCTTGAAAAAAAAATCTTGAAATTTTTTTTTTAATTTCTCTTAAGAATTGCAGATGGTTGAAAATATTGCAATGTCCCATTTTTTAAAATTATAGGTCATCCAGTTTTTTTTATTAAATCATAGAGGGTAGTAAGAAATTTATGAGCTTTTTTGTTTCACAGTGCCAGAACGTAATTTACCAGTTATTGAAACAATGAAATGAGATTCCATCACTTCAGTATACTTTCGATATAATAAAATAGCATTTCTTTTGAACAACTCCATTTCTTGAACGGGAAGGGAAGGTACTTTAAAATTCCAAAAAATACAGTTGAAAAGAACTGGTCCTTTTATAGATAGCGAAAAAGTGGAAACTGCCCTAAAACATTTGGAGAAGATCAAAACCGATGGCAACAGCACGAAATTGCAGGTATACCTTTGAATATATTTTCTAAATGCTTCCGTTTACTATTGGAGAAAAGAGATCAGTAAACTGGTAGAATTTGCAACTAAGTACTATTCTTCAACACATATATCGGTAATACCTCCATTTCTAATGAGCTAAATAAAAATTTTAATTTTTTTGAAATCCTAATAAATTTTCAAAGATAATGCGAGAAATCTGAAATTTTATTTGCATCATTCCTGTTTCAGAATACATTTTATGGAGAACAAAATGAAGAGAAGGTAAGATCCAGAAGAGGGAAATGGAAAGGGAAGCAAAATGTAATCGCTGCTACGGATGAAAGAACGAAGACACTGCTGCATGAAATCAGGGAGGAACGCAAAGAGGAGAGCAGAATTTTGAAAGGGCAACAGGCGCAACAGGCAACTGTTGATGAAGTAAAGCACAATGAAATGCTAGAAAAGGTGACAATGGTTGGTGCTTCAAAAGTAAACGTAAGTAATGAATGAACAAAAGAGATCAGCAGTCAACTCGTAGATTTTCATATGGAAAATTCAAAGAAGATAATGTAATCACAACTTCAATCCTTGCACTTCATTACTGAACCTAAGTAAGTGACTTTTTGGTTTTAGGTCACAAATCATTTAAAACAATTGCTGAAAAAGCTTCGCCCTCCACTATTATATTTTTCGGGTTTTCTAAATGAATACATTTTCGATGAACTGCTCTAAAGCACCATATTCATCACTAGTTTTGATACTCTATGCAATAATGATAAAGGTCCTCTCAGTCCTAATTAGGAATATTAAAGCTTCGGGTTCAACCTTCATTCCATTAACGGCGATTCAAGTAAAAGCGACTTACTATAGTGCAATTTCACAATTGACTTCGGGAAATCTGACCCTTTTCTCATTTTTGCTCTCGAAAATCAATTATACGAAAGTCCAAAATAGTCGTCAACTAGTCCTCTTTGTACTAGTCGCACATATATTAGTTCGCTTTCATCCGGACCTCACAGAAGAATAT